CCCTCTAACTTCTGTCTCATTTCTCCCTCTCCTGCTTCTGGCTCACTGCCACCTCCAACACCTGTCCTGAGCTCCTCTCTGCCTCCAAACCCCCTGTTTCTTTGCCACTGTCTTATCTCCACTGCCTTTTCCTTTTCCCCTAAGCAACCAGGCTTCTGCCTGTTTCTTTCCTCCTTGCCACCACATATCTGCCCCCTCCCCAATATCTCAGCTGTCTGCCTCAGTTTCCAGCCCTAGTCTACCTTAAGTAAAACCAAACCTCAGGTCCTCAGCCAGCTTCTCTTAGTCTATCGGTTCTAATCCTGGTTCTGGCAACTTTCAATCCCTACACTTTTTAACTCTCTCTCTCTCTCACCTGAACCTTCCTCCAAGTATCCCAGGTACCCCAAGCACACACATATACACTGTACCATCCAAGTTAGGAACTTACCTGTGTGTAGGTGGGTTGTATGTATGTGAACTGGTGAGTGCGTGTGTATATATATATATGTCATTGTGTGTATGATATACGAATTAGTGATCTGTGTTTAACTTTTGGGGTGTATAGTGTATGTGCTTGAATTGGTGATAGGTATGCATGTGCCTAGGCTGGTTTGGATGTGTGTGTGCCTGAGCTTGTAGTGTGTGTGTGTATGCACCTAATTAATTTGTGTGTTTGTATATGTGCAATTGTGTCACACACCCCTGTCTAACAGCACAATATTGAGATCCTGAGAGTTGGCCTGACCCCACAGGGCAACTCTCCTGCTATACTATACCATTTATATCAAAGCTTAAGTTTCAGTCTAGCATTTTCATCTCAACACAGGCACAAATTTTGAACACACATCTAAACACATTCCCCTCTGATTTTAAATCAAAGATTTCTCAGGCCAGATAGCATGGCCAGAAAATAGTATGTCTCCTGGACTAATTTAAGCCTGAGTATTTTGGCCCTTTCCAAACAGTCTAGTGTTTCCAGATTAAGCAATTCATTTTGGGTTTGAGTTTAGGAGTTGACTTGTCTCTCATTTGGTGGAGAAACAGAAAGCTGGAACATGTATATAAAGTGGCACAGTTGAAGCATCAATATATAATAATATATATTTTTTGGCTCTGCCACTCTGTGAGGCAAGATCAGATCTGCATAAGGCCAGATAAGTCAGCTCTGCCCAGATCTACCTCCAACAGAGAGAAATGAGTCTAAAGCAGGGAGCTAACAGGTTATTGTTAATTCCATGATTTATGCAGCTTTTAGAGGTGACACTTGCTTCCTTCCCAGCTCTTCCTTTACATCAAGAAAAAACTATGAGATAGGACAAACATTACCGTTATGCAGGGTTTCCCTACCTGGTAATGTTGGTAGTCAGCAGTATTACCTATCTTCATTCTTGTTTTCCAGAAAAATGCTTTAACCACCAGGCCACCATTAAGGCATTATCCACACCACTCTCTAATAACCCCTTGAAGCTGGCCCACCAAGGAGTCATGTGAAGGAAATAGGTAATGCCAGGAGAAAGAAAGCAAGCAACTCAGTGGTCATATGATTTAGTGAGACAGAAACTGCCCTGGACTGGACAGAGCCTTGGGTTTGAGCCTGAGTCCCTGTTCCCAATGGCTCAGAATCTTTTGCAGTGCTGTTTTTGTGTTGAATGTTTAAGTGTGCTAGCTTTGAGAGGAATACTGCAGAAGGCGCTGAGCAATGCCTACACAATGGCCTGTTGGTTAAAGCACTTTTCTAGGAAACAGGTGATGCATATTTAAACCCCATATGTTTTTAAGGGAGCCTAAAACCCAGACTTCCACCACTCCTCAGGCAAAAACAGGAGGGCTTTCCACCTCTTCCAGATGTATGCAAGACAGACAAAGTAAAATCCAAAACCATGCATAAAGGCCAAGACTTACAGCTACATGGCTATATATATACCACTTAGGCACATAAAGTAAAATAGACTTTATTCCACTGAATATTCTAAGTAAAATCCATGATTTGTCACCACTATTTCTCCGGCTTTCTGTGAGCTAAAGAAAGTCAAATGCTGCAGTATAAAGTGTGGGGGAATCTATCTAGCTACATGTCTGTGTGTCTCTCTGTACATATATCTAAAGGGCCCAGTTAAAATGATCCTCTAGTCCTTTTTTTTTTTTTTAAAGAGGAGGGTGGGGAAGTGGACAGATGTTACCATTATTTAAGGGACACTTGTAGAGTATGTAGACTTAGACTTGGGTTTTCATTGGAGCCTAAGGGAGATCTCCCTTAACAGAAATTGAAAGTGGCTTTTTTGCGTGTGACAGTGTTTATATTACTGGAAGTACCTCTTGCCTTTTTTTTTTTTTTTTAACATTCATTTTCAGGAATTAATCCAGCTAAAATTGAGTAGGTATTTCATTTCCTCTCTGTTCAATTTCACTGATAGATCTGATCAATTTTTTGCCAAAAATCAATAAAGACTGGTTTGCAACAGAAAATTATGTTTTCACCTCCAATATACTTCTTGATGTGTTATCTGGATATGTATTCTCTCTTACAGATGGAGCAAGCAGAAGAATTAAAAATGGGAAATCTCACCAGGATAACCAATTTTTTCCTTTTGGGTTTGTCCAACCACCCCAAGCTGGAAGTACTTCTTTTCTGCATATTTCTAGTTATTTATATAATCAGTCTGATGGGAAATGTGCTCATCATGATTCTTACAGCAGACCCATTTCTTTGCACTCCCATGTATTACTTTCTTCGTGTCTTATCTTTCCTGGATATTTGCTATACATCTGTCACTATCCCAAAGATGTTGATTAATTTCCTATCAGAGGACAAATACATTTCCTATGTGGGCTGTGCTGCCCAAATGTACTTCCTGCTCTTCCTAGGGGCGTCTGAGTGCTTCCTTCTGGCAGCCATGGCATATGACCGCTATGTGGCCATATGCAACCCGCTGAGGTATTCTGCTATTATGAACAGAAAGGTTTGCCTTTCATTAACACTTCTCTCCTGGTTCAGTGGTAACATGGTGTCCCTAACACAGACAGCTTGGGTATTCACATTGCCATTTTGTGGGTCAAATCAGATTAATTATTTCTTCTGTGATATTCCCCCACTGATTAAGCTTTCTTGCATCAACACTTCTGTGTATGAAATGCAGCTATTTACAGCTACCATATTGGTCATCTTCACCCCCTTTTCTCTCATCCTCTTGTCCTACATCTATATCATCTCCACCATCCTGAAGATGCCATCAGCTGATGGCAGATATAAAACCTTCTCCACCTGCTCCTCACATCTCATGGTGGTGACATTATACTATGGGAGTGGAAGTCTGATTTACTTAAGACCTAAATCCACTAACTCTCCAGACAGCAGCAAACTCCTGGCTCTAATATACACAACTGCAACCCCCATGTTGAATCCCATGATCTACAGCCTGAGGAATAAAGATGTAAAAGGGGCCTTAAGGCGAATCGGGTGAATTGGGTGATAGGATGATCAAAAAAACAAGTTGTCATGAAAAATAATGTGTATATTGGTCTTTTTCTGACATTGGTTAGACAACTATGCAGATTTTGACTATTGTCTTTGAAATAACGCACTGGTGTTCAAATATCGCAAACCTAAACCATAAAAATATAGTCTCTCTCTCCCCACCTCCAGCAAATGATTCATGTTCAATTAAAAATAATTCAATATTAGCCAAAGAATGGGAGGGGGGAGGCATCAGCTCTGAAATTGTTTGCAATGCAGAGAAAATCTAAAATAAATAAATAAACCCTCCCAATAAATAAACCCTCCCATGCATTTAGTACAAATACTACTGACTTTTTTTTTTTTAACTCTCCATTTAAATTCATAGTGAAAACTTTGTTGAAAACATCAGTTATGGAAAGTTTCTAAATGTTCTATAATATACTCTAATAAGATTGGCCATGTATATATGAGTTTGCTTTCATGACATCTTTACTTTTTTGGTAAAACTGGGGTGAGTTTCAGAAAGGGGAATGGATTCTTACCCATCTAAATCTACCACACCCTTACATGAATGTTTACCAAAAGTTAGGGGTTTAATCATGATCTTTTGGACTACTGTAGCAAGGTGAGTTGCTGGCCTGACATTAGAAATGTAGAATCATAAAAAGCTAGGGTTGGAAGGGACTGCAAGAGGTCATCCAGTCCAACCCCCTGCTAAAAGCAGAACCACCCTTAACTAGATTATTCCAGCTGAAGCTTTGTCTAGCCAGGTTTTGAAAACCTCCTAGGATGGAGCTCCTACCACCTCTCTGGGTAACCTGTTACTGCGTTTAACTACGCTCCTGGTGAGAAAATTCTTCCTAATATCTAACCTCAACTTCCCTTGCTGCAACTTGAGACCCTTGTTACTTGTCCTGACATCTGCCACCACTGAGAACCAGCTCCATCGTCTGTCAAACCCGTCTTTAGTTACTTAAAGGCTGCTATTAAGTCTCAGTCTCCTCTTCTCTAGACTAAATAGATTCATTGATTCATAGATTCATAGATGTTAGGGTCGGAAGGGACCTCAATAGATCATCGAGTCCGACTC